ATTAGGCTAATCACTGGCTCTTGGTGCTGATGTCACAGACTCGTGGCACAGGCAGAATCACCAAAACACTGCCAAAATTTTAAATCCCTGAACTGGTGTCATGTGCATTCCTAGCTGTTTACACAAAAATCCATTCAAACAGAATGCTTGAGATTTTGAAGGTCTGAAAATTAATAGGGTGGGATTTTTCATCGTCTCTACTTTACAATTACCAAAACCTCTTATTTTAGTGTTTTTTTGTTTTTTTGGGGTTTTTTTTTTTTTTTTTGGTCTTTTTGAGACAGGGTCTCACTATGCAGTTCAGGCTGGCCTTGAGCTCACTTTGTAGCCCAGGCTGGTCTCGAACTCTCAGTGATCCTTCTGCCTCAGCCTCCTGAGTGCTGGGATTACAGATATGCCCCACCATGCCTGGCTTTTGGTTGTTTGTTTGTTTGTCTGTTTTTCCAGTACCCAGAATTGAACTCATGACCTCATGCTTGCTAGGCAGGTGCTGTGCCGCTGAGCTAAATCCCCAGCCCCAAAATCTCTTATTTTGTATTTCTGCTGCATTTAATTGAAAGAAAATGTTTATACTTATGGGGGGAAAAAAAAATTTTTTTTTTTTTTTTTGTTTTTTTCTGGTACCAGGAATCAAACTCATGACCTTGCGCTTGCCAGGCAGGCACTGTGCCACTGAGCTATATCCCTAGCCCCCAGGGAAAAAATTTTAAATCCATGAAAGTTCTCAACATATTCAGCTAAAACCAGCACACACATACACACAAACCTAGTTATAGTCACATTATTAACCCCCTCCCTACTCACCCACCCACCCAACAGAAGTCAAGAAAATGATAGTCTTTTAAATGATATTAAAATCTGAATTTCCTTGCAAATAGTGTGTTACTCTAATCTAAATAAATAAATAGCTGATCTTTAAAACCACAAAAAACAAGTGTATTGTAACTGAATGCCTGCCTATTAAAATGTGATCTTCTGGCTTCTATAATTTTGTCTTTGAAAAGCTCAAGAGAAATACTTTCTAAAGACACAGTTGTGCAGTGAGAAAAATATTCCTAACATTAATACTTTGATTCTTTCCAATATGTATCTTGTGGTATCAACATGTAAATACGGCCTTTGTTTTTCAAGATTTTACCTACGCCTTTTATTCCCCTTTCAAAGGACAGATCAGTAAATGAGATTACAGCTTTCTGTCATGAAATTAATTTCATATACTTGAGACAGTGACTTTAATCACCACCTGGGGGAAAAGATGAACAGCCTAAGCCAGCTTCTTTGGGTGTAGGAAACAAAGATTAGAGGGAAAAAAATAGAAAATGTGATAAACTAAAGCCTCTTGTTGAAAATGCAGTAACACGCACAGTTGAAAATGCACACACACAAATGAAAAGTGCCGTGTTTATGACCAGTTCCTTCAAGTTAGGACTGAGGCACTGACCTGGTGTGGAAAGTGACTTAAATAATATATGACTGTTCTACAGTTTGATTTCTCCTAAATCATTGTGTCATAGATTTTCCACTATTGGGATATATTACAACTTTCCATTGTACAAAATTAGGGAATTTTCATAATATACACAAATAGAACACTTAAAAAGTTTTTTTGGTCTTTTTGAGACAGGGTCTCACTATGTGGTTCAGGCTGGCCTTGAGCCCACTTTGTAGCCCAGGCTGGTCTCCAACTCGAAACGATCGTCCTGCCTCAGCCTCCCCAGTGCTGGGATTACAGGCATGTGCCACCACGCCCAGCAAAAATAATTTCGAGGTACTGTAGAAAACATTAATGAAAAGAGTAGTCATTGGTTATAATAAGGTGCTAAGCTGGAGTAATGAAGAAAATATAGAATTTGATTTAGTCTGTATCACTTATTAGCTATGACATTGAGCAAATTATCTAGCCTCTGAGTCTACTATATATATAAAATGGACTATTTTAAGAATGGTTGATTATATAAGAAAATGAATGTAAACTGCCTAACAATACTACATATATACCATGACTTTTATAATTCCAGTTAATAGGCATGATTTCACAAAAAGTGCTAATTACAGGTGTAGGAGAATGAGCCCCGTAGGTTCTTAGTGGAAATGAACCTGTTACAAAAGACAGATTAGTAAGGAAAAAACACAAGTTTATTAAAAAAAATATATATATATATGAAACTCTGCAAGAAAAATCCTCAAAGAGGTGGCTTTGAATTCCAGCTTACATAACATCTTCAACAAAGAACAGTAAATTTTGCATGCCTGTAATCCCAGCACTCAGGAGGCTGAGGCAGGAGGATCGTTGCAAGTTCGAGACCAGCCTGGGCTACAAAGTGAGCTCAAGGCCAGCCTGAACTGCATAGTGAGACCCTGTCTCAAAAAGACAAAACAAAACAAAACACAAAGAACAGTAAATTTTTAGGGAAAATTTAGTAACAGGGTTTTGGGTCTTTAGGAGAGGCAACTGGGAAGGCAAGCAAAGGGCACATAAAACTACTTAGGAAAGCTCATCAATGTGGCATGTCTAACACTGTGTCTAGGCCAGGAGGGTCCACTAACCTCTGCAGGTTAAACTTTGCTCCCTGGTAGACGGCAAGGGCAGGCTACCTGTTGTCACTATAAATCTATGTTCTGCTTCTTGGCAGAGGGCAGGAAGACAGTTTTCCTGCATCTACTGCCTTTTGTCTTCAGCTCAATAACTCTTCATATTTTGGGGCAGCATATTTTGGTCTCACACACACATGGGGGAAACACTGAACAGAAGTTTAAATTGTTCTAAAGAATAATAACTAGATGAAAAATCTCAATAATTTTGCACTTTTTTTTTGTTTTGTTTTTTTGAGACAAAGTCTTACTATGTAGTCCAGGCTGGCCTTAAACTCACAGCAATCCTCTGCCTCAGCCTTCTGAGTGCTGGGATTGCATGTGTGTACCACTACAGCCGGCCTTGTGTGTGTGTGTGTGTGTGTGTGTGTGTGTGTGTATGCACTCAAGTTATCCTAAATCACCCTTTATACTTCATTGTCAGCTCTTCAGGACCTTACTTAGACACACATTTGTAAATCACCAAATTTTTAAAAATGTAAATAGATATATATACAGATTGATATGGAAATTATTGATCCAAATTAAGTAAACCATCTACTTCTTTTGTTAGTACGTATTTGTGGTACATAATGAATACATTCACTGTGGGAAGTTGGTATGTGTATACAACACATCTTAATTGTTTTTACTTCCCCTTCTCCCTATATCCCATCTCTTTGTAGCCAAGTAGTATTCCACTGTGCAGAAATTCCACATTTGCTTTATCTATTCATCTGTTGATGGACATATAGGCCACTTTCATGATCAAGCTATTATGGATTATGCTGGTACAAACATGGGTATTATCACTGTAATATGGTGTCTTTAGCTCTTTCAGAAAGATACCTAAAATAGGAATAGCTGAGTCGAATAGAATTTCTACTTCAAATTTTTTGAGGAATTTCCATACCATTTTCCATTGTGGTTGAAATAGTTCCCACTAACAGTGTAGAAGCGTTCCTTTTTCCCCACAACCTCACCAGCATTTGTTGTTATTGATTTCTTGATAATGACTATTCTTTCTAGAGTAGGACTGTAAGTGTTGTTTTAATTTCCTGAAAGACTAGTGATGTTGAACATTTTTTATGTATTTATTGGCCATTTGTACTTCTTCTAGGAAGTGTCTGCTCATTTCAGTTGCCCATTTTTTGACTGGATCTTTTTTATTCTGCAGGGATTTTTTTTTTTTGTTCTTTATATATTGTAATATATACTAATCCTCTTCTCAAGGTGTAGCTAGGAAAATTGTTTTTCAATTCAGGAAGTTGTTTCTTCACTATGTTAGTTATTTCTTATGCAGTGCAGGAGCATCCCAATTTCTTACAATCCCATTTCTTGATTCTTGAAGTTATTTCTTATGCAACTGGTGCTCTGTTCAGAAAATCCTTACCTATGACTATGATGTCAAGAGTTATCTATCATATCTTCCAACAGGTTAAATGTTTCTGTTTTAAAATTTAGATCTTTAAAGCATTTTGATTTTAGTTTAATATTTGGTGAGAGATATGGCTCTACCATCATCTTCTGCATGTGGATAGCCAGTTTTCTTAATATTATTAATTACGGCCAGAATCATGCCATACATTCTCCTTGGATTATACTTCTCTAAAAAGCAGGCAATCCCTTACAGGGTGAAAATCCATAGAAAACATAGTGTATACTATAAAAATTATCCAGTGTTATCATGAAACAATCATAAAATACCACAGACTTGAACAAGAGATCTCTTTTTAAAATCTTTGCAAAAATGAATCTCCAGAATTAGATTCCATTAAATTTATCATTCTCCTTTACTAAGAACTTTTTTTTAACAAACTTACATAATAACCTCTAAACACAAGCTGAAGTGTCTTAACAGGGAATGGTACTTTTCAATAATAAGCAAAATAGAAGCAGTATATATAAAGCTTCATTTCATCTCATATTCAAGTTCTGATTTTTTTCCTCTAAGTTATTTATTATTCAACCAAGACAGTTCAGACATACCTAAATCTAGACATGCTTTAACTTCTTTTAATCACAAAATAGTTTACTATTACAAAGTTTAAACAATCATACATTCTGTGTTTGTAGTCTAATGTTATATGAGTTATTAAGACAATGAGGTAGCCCTTTGGTAAATTATATGAAAGATTATACTGAAGTTTACATCTTATTCACGTTTTACAAACATATGTAATTCACAGACTCTTGGGGATTCTATAATTTCTCCTATCCTACACGGATCCAAAAGTATACCTTACAACTTCAGTGACTTTATGAATCTCAACCATTGTAAAGATTTCTAAAATATCTACCAAACAAAGTGAACAGCATTTATTACTTTTAAAGTGAGATTTTCCTTCCGAAGTCCCCAAAATCGTTCTTTTACATTCACCCCTCTCAAACAAAATAAAACAAAAACAGTTGGAATTTGAAGGGTTTTTTGTTTTACTTTTTATTTTTTTAATGTCAGGGTGGTACGGTCTTCTTTGGATGTTTGGCTGATGAAAGCTGAGTTATACAAAAAAAATCTCTAGAGAACAGAGGCTCTTCTGTACATACAGTATTTATTCTCCAAGCCTGCTCTTCATCTCCTTTTGGCTTTCCACACTGATCCAATTTTAGCGCTTCCTGGAGAGAACTAGGTTCTAATCAGCAACATCAGGAAGAGAGAGGACAAAGCACAATGAGAAAAGGCAGACCTCACGTCTCTGAAAGCATGAATACATTCTAAGCTATCAAGCGAGATAAGGTGCATTATAACTTTTAATAATTGTTACCCCTGTGGACATGAGCAAGAAATATTCAATGAGTCCATCCATTCAAGAGGCTCCTGGGGCTGGGGATTTAGCTCAGCGGCAAAAGCGCCTGCTTGGCAAGCGCAAGGTCGTGAGTTCGGTTCCCGGTACCGGAGAAAAACCAA